ATCAAAAATTTAGCTCACAGGCTGAACGCTTAAGTGATCTTCTTACGTCTTCTGAGACATTTGTTGTTGACAGCGATGGCTAAGTTTTTTTTGAAACTTTCAGCCCATAAGGTGTAGTTTTTTTTTTGGTACAATCGTTTGTTGAGCATATAGCCAAAATTTGTGATTATATGCCACAAAATTCTGATTCTATCAGCTTAAATGCTCGTTTTTTTGACAATATTATGTAGTTCTGCCTTTTCATTGATTTATTGTATCCAAATATCGGGATCTTCTGGTCTCATAATGTTAACCTTGGTTTTACAACTAAAAAACAGCCATTTCTGGAAAGATAACAACAAATTTTGACCACTAAACAATCATACTTTTTCAGACTATTTTTATGAAATGCTTAAGACTTGATGCTTTTCCAGCATTTACCAAGTTACAGTATCTTAAATAATTTACTGATGATAACCTGTCATTAAAAGCACAATTACTTATCATAAACTACAACATTGAAAAAAATAAACATTAATAATTGTTGTAATTAAATGGTAATGATCTTATTTGGCTATTGTTTGATATCACTTATTGTCAAATCAAAGTTCATCTATTTTATATTTGAATTGTTTTAAATTGTTTCATTTATTCTACCACATTATTATATAATGTTAGCAAAAAAAAAAGTAATAACGCTTTTAATATCACAATTGTGCAAAAATTTTTCTTCTCAATTTCTTTACCAATTTTAATTGAATTGAGCATTCTCTGCAAAAATTTTTTAATATATCATTTAATGACTTGCATGTAACAGACATTTTTTTTTTGGCTTTATTAATATAGGTTTGAATGTTCAAATTTCAAGTTTGCAGTAATTGCTTTTTATCCTTCACTTATCTCTGCTTTTTGTTTGAAGAAATCTTTGTAATAACATTTTCTATAACAAACTAAAATATCGGTAATTTTTCAGTAGTAAAACCATACCTGAAATAGGTAATCACAACAGAAACAATGCTTTGGAATTATAAAAGCAAATAATATTGCGAAGTTATGAATGGGAGGGCGAAAATGCATCGAAGAGTGCTGCAACAGCCGTAGCAACAATGTCCCTTTCCGAAGGTCAGTTAGAAACAGTTTAATACAAGAAATTTTTTTTTATTTTTGTTCACATATACTTACTTCTAGGGCACAACTGTAACTTCTGAATCCAAGTTCTGTACACAAGCAACAAAAACAGTCATCTTAAGAGCAGTTTTCTAAACAATTTTCTGTAGGGGAATGAGAATATAACTCAGTCATAACTCATAACTCAGTAACTCAGTCTATACTAAAAGTTCGCTTAATAAAGTGTATTAAGGTCGTCACGGGTCTATTTTGCATCTGTTGATAAATATGAATCTGCATGCGCTCTTCTACGAGACTTCTGTGCTCGAACTAGCTCACATGGCATTCCACTTATCGGGTAAGCTTCCAATGACTACTTATTAGATATAAAATTACTTCTTTAGCAGAAATTGCTTAATTATTATTTTGCATTTCACAGATCTCCAGCGTTTTTTAATCGTTGTGTTTGGACATTTATAACATTATTTTGCTTTATCGCCTTCCTAGTTCAAACCTACTGGACACTGTCAGACTATTTGCAATATCGAACAATTATCGAGATGCAATTAAAATTTGAACCAGGTCAGTAATTTTGTTGACTTCCTTTTTTTTCAATATTTGCTTTAAGTTGTCAAATCGATTAACTAATAACGGACTTTGCGGGGGGTCTCAAATCTTTGCTTCTAAAGTGATCGACGGGAGGCGGGTGACTCAGTGAACAAAAGTAGTTTCCCAGCAAGGGATTTAGGAAAACGCGGTTAGCGGAGAAAACGACATGTTTTACAAGGTTTTTCCAAGCTTCCCTCTGCTAGCACAACAAACAAGTTTTCTTATCGACTACCTATTCATGCAAGCAATATCTGAGGACAGTAACTAAAATGGAAAACGTTGGAATGGTCATTACGAAACAGTTGATCAAATAGATGTGATATGAGATTGCCAAAGCAGTAAAGAGGTGCAATATGCAAACCGGGTTTAAGCTTATTCCACTTTTGAATTATTGGGTGTTAGAAGGTGTTACTGGGGAATTATTCTAAATCTGCTCTGTCCCCTCAATAAGTAGGGAATGAGACTTTTACTGTATCCATAATTGTAAAATGTTGTTTGTTTTTGGAAAAAAAAAAA